CTGGTGATAAGCACAACTTCACAAATTATAGACCGGTTTCTCTGTTGTCACAATTTTCAAAAATTCTGGAAAAACTCTTTAATAACAGATTAGATACATTTATTGACAAACATAAAATCCTCTCTGATTGCCAATATGGTTTTAGGTCGAACCGATCGACATCTTTGGCCATTACCGACCTGATGGAGGACATAACAAGTGCTATGGATGAGAAGAAATACATGATGGGAATATTTATTGACCTAAAAAAAGCATTTGACACAATCAATTATGAATTATTAATGGACAAGTTAGAAAAATATGGGATCAGAGGAATGGTTCTGAAATGGATTAGAAGTTATTTGACACAGAGGCGTCAATTTGTATATTACTTGTGTGGTGTAGAAGAGAATTATTTATGTAGAGATACTGCTTGCAAACCAACGATGTAAGATGATGTTATGGGGTAGGACTGGATAAGTCTGACTTCTTCCTACTCCATTCAAGCATGTATTAGGTATAAGCAAATTGATATTGGATTAGCATTTGTTGGATATGTGTAAAATTATGTGTGTTGACATAACTGTCTTTACCTGCTTGAAAGAATAAATCAAATCAAATCAAATCTTTAGGTGTGTTCTGTAGAAGTCGTGTTCGGCTTGTGGGACCTTTCACAAATGCACAACAGCACTAATAGCCTAAAATGAAACAGAAAATAAACTCTGATGCTGTTTCATGATTTTTATCCATGCTAGTGGCATGGTGGATGGTCAAATCGGTCATACTAATGTACTCATTGATAAACAATAGGTAATTGGCACTGGGAACAGTCAAGCGTACACTCTGCAAAGCTGCAATAGTGTAACACACCAGTCTGAAGATATGATAGTTATTATATCCTTCACTTTTCTGCTAAACAAAAAACTTTTTATCAGACTAATCTTAGTGCAGCAAAAAAGATGGACAAAGGTGAGATTAGCCTAAACGAGGCTGGTTTATGTTGTCAATCAGCAGTGGAGCAGAGGACACTGTGAGAGAGCTGCACTACTGAATGTGGGTGTTGGTGAAGAGGTCCGTTTTAAGTAAAGACTTCAGCTTTGAAAACAATCAAAACTATAGCAGTTTTGTCGATGCTGGAATTTTTTTTTAACTCCATGGCTGCTGTTGTTGTTTGTCAGACCTTTTTCCAAAGTGATACCTCACTCATTAGTGGGATTTTGTTCACCTGTTTAAGCCAATATAATCATAGAGCTAATCCATTCCTCAAAGGGAAATAACAAACAAAACTAATGCAAACTCGCTCATTTATTTTGACTTAATCAAATTTTTATCTTGTCGGCTAAAAACTGCAAGACACCAGATGTATGGGGAGAACATCTCCTGCACTGGCGCTACCTGTTTCCTTGGGTTTAATTACTCTGTGATTTGCTTGAAGGGAGATGTTGTTTACAGAGAAATGGCATTCACAGAGACATCCTGCAATTTGATAATTAAAAGGGGCAATAAATGCTTTCCCTCAGCACTGGGTACTTTGCATTCACAAGAGAGGCTACTCATATTGTTGCTGTGTTTGTCAGGGACAGGGCTTTGCTGGAGCGGAGGCAAGTGGGGGTTCAGTGGAAGTAATTAGTTGGGTTTGTATTCGACGTGCGGCCCATACTAGACAGATAGCGGAAACCCATTCACTGTAGCACTCAGTTCTAAAAGCTTCTTTTTCTGTGAACAGCTAAAAGACATATTTTCAGATATTTGAGATATTTTCGCCTGCAATTCAGGCTTGTAGGCGTTGAATTGTTACAGTGAGGAACAGAAGTATTTGAACACCCTGCGATTTTGCAATTTCTCCCACATAGAAATCACGGAGGGGTCTGAAATTCACATTGTAGGTGCATTCCCACTCTGAGAGACAGA